AGAAAAAAAAGGATGAGAACAACGCACCTAAGACCTGATATTCAATCTCTGCTAGTGATCTCACCGATGCAGTCGATGCTCTAACTTTGAAGACAACGAATAAAATGGAGGAAAGAATCTTCCTTAATCAACGTGGATTTCAATGTGAATAGACGTCTCAACATCTGTAACGCTGCTAAACGTGCTGCTAGCCACTCATTCATATGGACACGGTTTCTATGCGGCCAGCCCGCATATTCAAGAAATACGGCCTTGGCAATAAATACTATTTTAAAATTCAATTTGATCCTAATTTTTAAACAATATATAATCTTTAACATGAAAAATCATGAATATGAAAATAAAATAAAATTGAAAAATATAAATATTAATTATATTAAAAAAACATTTGGACCGTCAGTTACACTTGGTTTTAAAAAGACCACCTAATTACCTCCATATTTAAGATGGATGCTTTATACCTCTGGACCTCATATTGTAGAAATGCGATCCACTCGAAACAATTTTTCAATACATATATGCATGTTAAAAACAAGGGAAATTGTTTCATGCGGGCTAGACCGCATGACTACATACGCGGTCCAATAAAGTTTAAAACATCTATTTTAAAGATGGCTGCAAGTAGGTGTTCCATCTAAAAACAATAGAAACTAACAGTCCAAATGTTTTCTTACTATAATTATTATTTATAGTTTTAAAATTGACTTATTTTTATATTCATGATCTCTATATTAGAGATTATATGTCCTTAAAAACTAAGTAAAAAATCCATCTCAAAAATAGATTTATCAATAGACTCACATTTCTATGTGGGCTTGACCGCATAGAAACCGGGTCTTCAAAAGAAAAGTTGACAACCGGAGATTGTATATAATAATCGACCCGGAATAATTTTATCCCACTAACAATGAATCTAGACCATCTATTTAGTGAATTTCAAGATCTAGACCTGTACAAATTCAAGATTGACTTCTTATTTTTTTAATATTGTTAATCTAATTGCGTTAAAGCTATTTAAAATTTTTTAAAATGAAAAAAAAATCTTCCAAAGCATAGATCTAAACATCTCACTAAAATGAATAGACTATATTAATTGCACTAAAAAAAATTCTAGGGGTGTTTCTAAATTTTGCCTTTTTGTGATAGTTCATTACAATAAAAAATATATATATTTAAAATTTAAGAGCAAACAAATGCCTCTAATATGATTTTTTAATATTATTTCATTATATTGCCATAGAACCGTTACATGAAAGCACTTCCCTAATTTAATTTTTACTTTTTTTCTTATTTCAATTAAGCTCAAATTTGAGCCAACTGTACTTCTTACCATCATACATTTATCAAATAATATAAAATAATAGTTTAATAATAAAAATATCCAAAATACTCAGACATAATGCTAGGCTACTTCTGTATCTTTATTTTTTAAAACTATTTGCTTAAATTATTTTGTATCTATTTTGTATTTTTTGGATCTTTTATTTGTGTTAACGAGAGGAATGGTGCATCCCAAAGTTGAAATTAGTTCAATGTATAGAAATAAAATTTAAATGGACTTTCACAAAATGAGACTTGAGCATAAAACATAAAATCTATAGGATAATTTAAAAATTAAATAGGATTTTCTATAAATTGCCATTTTATATTGTAACTTTTTTTATAAATCTGCCCAAATTTTAGAACCAAATTAAGGTTCATAAGCTAGCCCTTAAATCAACTCAAATTCAAATTAGAGCATTGCGTTTATACTATTCCATCAACATCTAAGCTAACACAGCATTTATTTTTAGAATAATATATCCATGTCTGCCAAAATAAAATGTCAAAATGAGTCGTGAAAGAGTTTTTTACTCTTTAAACAGTTCCAAACCAATTTGCATCTTAGAGTGATAAATGAGGAAAAAAATATAATAAATCATTTATTTACAGTATCACGAGGTCACAACTCTAGATGATTGTGACTCTTTGTACCAAAAGTAAATGATGGTAGAGTTGGTCTGCTATGCTCCTTTGGGGGCATACTATACATTACTCCTTTGGGCAAAACACTCGGATATTTTTTTTTATGAAAAAAGTTTACACAAGGTTGACACCTTAAAATATAAAATTAAGTTACACCTCAAAAATCCCTGACGTTGAAAAACATCCTACTGATCATCTCGACATCGAGATGTATGGATAATGAAAAAAAAAAGATATCAAGTTTCAAAAATAGTACATCTTTCGATACATTACCTGGATCGTCCATTTTCAAGATTTCCATGTACTATTAGATCTGCTTGATTTGAATTATTTTTTGAGTTTAGAATTTTATAATTAGATATGAAAATAGATTCTCGTGCTATCCTAAGAATTTTTTACACCAAAATTGCATCTTATGATAGAATTTGAAGGTACACCATACTTTGATTGTTTAATGTTAGTTTAATGTATTGTATACTATGCGGCCATTTATCTTTGTTACAATGAGGTCATAATTACTCTTAGCTTTCAAATATCAATTTTGGTGACTTGCGGTGTGTCACTAAATTTGAGAAATTTTTTTGAACTTTGAGTCCTATCAATGACACTTTTATAACCTCTGGATTTGAAACCTGGCGGACAAGAATGATTGTGATCTTTTGTCAAGATGAATATTGTATGCATTTTTTTTACTATCGCAATTAATTATGGGTGGTCTTTACATAAGATGGATGTTAAAAAATGCCTTCTTACATGGTGACCTTGAAGAAGAAGTCTATATGAATATTCCTCCAAGTCATTCTAAAGAAAAAGATAAATGTCATGTACATAAATTAAAGAAGACATTGTATGGACTTAAACAATCACCACACGCATAGTATGTTAAACTCAGCTCAACTTTGATGAGTGTTGAGTTTCTTATAAGTTCTGTTGATTATTCGATGTTCATAAAAACTGAAATTTCAAGTGCAAGAGTTGTACTCATTTATGTTGAAGATAATATCATTACAGGTAATGATAAATAAAGAATCATGAAGCTTAAAATTATATTCACAATAAATTTGACATTAAGGACCTTAATTAACTAAATAATTTATCGGCATTAAAGTAGCACATTAAAAAAAGGACTATTCAGTTTTCAAAAGAAATATGTCTTAGACCAGTTGAAATAAACTTGGAAACTGGGAGTCAAACCCAGTTGACACCCATGTTGATATCAATTGCAAAATTATTTTAACAAAGGGAAAACCTCTTGAAGATGTGGGTTGCTTTCAAAGACTTGTGGGCAGATTAATTTATTTGACTGCGACACGACGAAATATAATATATACGGTTAGCCTTATGAGCCAATTTATGTACGCTCCTAGAATATGTCATATCGAGGTCATCAATAAGATTATCAGATATCTTAAGTCGTCACCCGCATTTGGATTAAACATAATGGCTATACTAATATTATTGGTTATTCTAATGTTGATTGAGCAGGTAGTCAAATTGACAAGATCCACTACCGGCCGTTGTACATTGGTTAGAGGAAACTCGATCACTTGAAAAAGTAAAAAACAAAATGTACTTGCTCAATCCAATGCAAAGGCTGAATATCGAGCTATGGCTTTAACTACAAGTGAATTGATATGGCTAAAATCACTACTTCGATATATGGGGTTCTGAATGGTCAATCCAATCGAGATGTTATGTGAAAATAAAACAATTATGTATATAGCCTCCAAGCTAGTTTTTCATGAAATAACTAAGCATATAGAAGTTGATTTGACACTTTGTGAGAAAAAATAATTAGTTAAAATTTATTAATACTCCTTATGTTTAAAGTGAAGACCAACTTGTAGACATGTTTACCAAAGTTATTGCAAAAACAAAGTTCTATCAGATACTATCAAGTTGGGCTTTGTGGATATCTTCACACTAACTTGAGGGGGAGTATGGACGATTATAGCAACAAGATACTAAGTTTCCTATCTTGTGAATTACAATATATTGAGTTTCCTATTTTGTGGGATTACAGTTGTTATGATATCTTATTTTGTTAAAAGACAAGATTCGTAATTCTATAAATACCTGGTAAACCAGAGTAATCCTATATAAATTGAGTGTACAATATTCTTAAGATGGCTTGAGAATATATTTTCATTTCTAATTAAAAAATCTGAACTTCAAAATGGTTCAAATCAAATAGATCCATAAGGAAAAAATTTATATAAGTGCGAGGCTTAAACAATCAAATTAGAGTGCACCTAAAAAATTTCACTAGAAGAGGTTGTTTTGATGCCCAAATATCCTCAAATTGATTATCTAGACCTCAAGATGCTGGACGTGACAAATAAATAGATTTCAACTTTTGGAAATAGTGCATCTTGTAATGCATTTTTGGACTATCAATTATCAAGATTTTCAAGTTTTCATATATCTACTAGATCTACATTATTTTTGAAGTTTTAAATTTTATAATTAGAGATAAAAATATATTTTGAGGCTATTACAAAGATTTTCAGTATTGAAACCATATTTCTCGACACTATTTAAATATGCGCTTTACTTTGATTGTTTAAAGCCTCAGCTTTATACAAACCGCACCCATCTATAAAAGCTTGGAAATGTTGAAAATGGGCGGTCCAAATAATGTGTTGTAAGATACACTAATTTTAGGACTCGAAATCTATAGTTTCATATTCATACATCTTGATATCAAGATGATCAATTAGAGGGTTTTCCAACATCAAAACAATAGATTTTGAGGCACACTTTAATTCTACATTTTAAGGTTGCAACCCTACTTAAACCTTTTTCAATTTCAATTACCCTTTAGAAATCCTTAAAAAAAAAAAAGGCCGAATAGTTTCGGCGGGAACTCAACCACGTTCACAAACCAAATGCCACTCAAACTCAAAACCATTGGTTTACATTTTACGACGCCTTAATTAGGTTTGGTTACTTAAGCCGCCACCGCACATGCATGAAGATGCTCGAAAGTGTAGAGAGAGAGAGAGAGAGTCGAAAGTGTAGAGAGAGAGTCGAAAGTGTAGAGCGAGAGAGAGAGGGTTGTCGAGGAGAGAACAATTCGAACGAGAGAGTTATCTGAGAGAGCAATCGTTAGAGAGAGAGCGAAAGGCTAGAATGCGGAGAGTTGTTAATGGCAGTCTTCTCTCTCAAGCCCTAAAAAGTTGCAGGCGTGCTGTCTTACAAGGGCCAGAACCTTTTCAGGCACATAGATCCATCCATGGCCGAGGCCTGGAGCCCAGTTTGGCCTTGGCCAGGGTCCGTGATCTGAGCCTCAGTAATGGCGGACGATCTAGGGGAACGCTGCCTGTTATTGCAGCGGGGGCTCTCTCATTCTCTCTCTCTTTTGCAGTGTCTTCTCTCTCTACCGTGGCTGCTAGAGAGTTGCCACCTTATTCAGAGAATTTCCCTAAGGAGCTTGTCCTTTACCAGTATGCTGCTTGTCCCTTTTGTAACAAGGTCAAAGGTTAGTGGTATGATCAATCTTTAATTTCTCGGTGTGGTCTTTATCTTTTTACATGGATTGAAAAGGTGGTTTTTTTTTTCTCTTTGTCCAATTTTTCTTTGATTTTTTTTGGATTGCCTTACCCTCTCTCTCTCTCTCTATTTATCTATCTATCTATTTATCTACACCTTATCCAAGCAAATAATCTGTCGTCTCTTTATATTCTTGTTTCGAATGTTTGAATTGTGCTTTTTTGTTCTTGTTGTGAAGTTTTAAGACCAGGTACGAATCATACATTATTCAATTCAGATGATTAGAGTGTCTATTTTGAAATTCTGATGAATCGGATTACCTGCTCTAGAGCTTGCGGCTGCTCCCCTCCCGTTGCATATATCATTAACAATTGAGTTCATGTTGGAGCTTACTGTTTGGAAAAATGCTTATTGCCTGAAAAATGATTGTGAAAATATTTGATTAGTGTATAAAGGCGATTTATAAAGTTATTGGAGAATTATGCATAAATATACTTGCTGATATTTGTCCAGATAAATCTAATTGTGATTTGGAAAAATACAAGTAACTGATCAGGGTTAAGGTTCTGCTGGATTCTAGTAGTACTAGAGAGTTCAGTTGAACTCTATGGAGATTGAGCATTACAGTAGCATCTTTTCTTTTTCCTTTCTGTTTGAAACTTTTTTAGGGGGGCGGGGGGAAGGGGAGAAGGGGGGATGATTCCTTTTCCTTTTATAGGTAATAATTCTTATGCAATGAAACAAGAAAAAGTAGAAGCAGACTGCATGTTTCTCTTTTGAGTTTTCTTGGATTTAAATAGACAAGTTCTATTCTTTTAGTGTTTGATTTAGAGAACTCAACATATTCTCATAAATATGCTTTTGGGCTTTTGTGTATCATATCAATTTGATAGCATCAGATCGTTTGAGATAACATTAATATTTTTGCGATGACCCATAATCTTCATCACTAAAAATGCATACCAAGCAATCATTTGTCTATATTGATGTTAATTGCTAGGGATGTTGAACCGATGAAGAGGTACTCCTTCAAATGTCTTCGAAATGAACAAGATATAATCTTTCAAAAGGGCTAGAAATATCAGTTGATATCTTGATGATATAAGAATATTGAATATTAGGTAGTGTCAGGAATGGCCATTAGGCCTAGATGGTATGATTGGTAGGGTGCCACAACATGGTGTCTTGAATTCCAGGCCTACCAAGATCACCTGTTACCAACGGTTTTGTTGACTTGAAATAGTCAATAATAGAAAAATTCAAGCATATAGTGTAGACTGCTGCAAACTTACAACAACTTAAGAACTTTTCTGGAGAGCTATCCTTTCTTATGTCTCACCGCTTTTTGGGGTGATCAACCGATGATATCAAGTCACAAGTTCAGGTTGTTAATATTTCATCCTTAAATATCGGTTGTTGATATAGCTAATAATTCTTATGCAATGAAACAAGAAAAAAGTAGAAGCAGACTGCATGTTTCTCTTTTGCGTTTTCAAGGATTTAAATAGACCAGTTCTATTCTTTTAGTGTTTGATTAAGAGAACTCAACATATTCTCATAAATATGCTTTTGGGCTTTTGTGTCTCATATCAATTTGATAACATCAGATCGATTGAGATAACATTAATGTTTTTGCAATGGCCCATAATCTTCATCACTAAAAATGCATACCATGCAATCATTTGTCTATATTGATGTTAATTGCTAGGGATGTTCAACCAATAAAGAGCTAATCCTTCAAATGTCTTCGAAATGAACAAGATACAATGTTTCAAAAAGGCTAGAAATATTAGTTGATGTCTTGATAACATAAGACAATCGAATATTAGGTAGTGTCAAGAATGGCCTTTAGATGGTATGATTGGTAGGGTGTCACAACATGGCGTCTTGAATTCCATGCCTAACAAGATCACTTATTACCAACGGTTTTGTTAACTTGAAATAATCAATAATAGAAAAATTCAAGCATATAGTTTAGAATGCTGCAAACTTACAACAACTTAAGAGTTTTTCTGGAGAGTTATCCTTTCTTATGTCTCACCACTTTTTGGGGTGAACAACCAATGATATCAAGTCACAAGTTCAGGTTGTTAATATTTCATCCTTAAATATTGGTTGTTGATATTTCGTCCTTAAACTAATAATCAATATCTGTTTTAAATTAGCCCCATCAAGTGTGCCAAGTTTGGCCCGTAAACTGGTGACTCGGGCTCCTACTTGCCTGAGTCACTTGGACCTAGTAGGGTGTTAGATCGAGATAACCAACCCTAAAAATCTGGGCGAGTATGACCTCGGATCCCTGGAATTTATGTATTTTAAAATAGTGACTTGCTTGAGTCAGGTGGTTCAACTTGACCGAGTCAGCCTCTGATTCATGCTTGGAACCCTGGTGAGTTTGAATGTGAGTTTAGGCTTATGATTGAAAAGTCCTCACGCCAACTTAGAATCACCCAAGTTGACTTGGGATCGAGGTCCATGTGTTTTAGGAGGAAAAAACCCATAATCGCCTGACAGTCTCAATTTGTTCATAATCTTTCAGTTTTTATTTTTTAAAATGGCTTGGTTTGATTGGAACTTGCTCAAGTCAAATTGGGGGAACTTGGGCTCGGACCCCTGACTTGTTGGAGCTCGAGTCGGACTTTACACTACTCTAGATAATAGAATTATTCTGTGTTCATGGTGTGTGTTTGCTGAAAGATGTAGACATCTACTCTAAGAGGAGGCAAACACATTTGAGTAACACTAAGGCTCATCCTGTCAATGGGGATCTTTATTTAGATTTTGGGGTTTACAATCCTACACCTTGCTTTTTTTCCCTCCGCATTAATGATGGAACACCTATGTTTAATTGATTACATTGTCGGAGAAAGGGGAGAGAAGATGCAATTTACATGAAAGAAAATATGAAGGAGATAGTACATTCCTATATGCTTCCTAAGTCTTTATGTGCCTCTCTTGCCTTTGAGGAGCTGGTTATATATGCTCCTTTAGGTGTATTTCCTGAAGGGAAAAGTTATCTATTGCCGAAAACATTATTAATGAAGTGGGAAAGTGGAGACTTTGAAAGTCGTCGATTAGATGTTGCACTGGGTAGTTTAGCAAGCTATACAAAGCACACACTGTATGTGGCATAAGCGTCACGTGGCAAAAGCTATACAATTGGACGTTATGGGACCAAAAATCATCACTGGTGGACTTTGTAAAGCATGTCGATGGATGCGAGATGCCTCAACTGCTAAAGCCCCTACTAGAGCTGCTTAAGCAAATGATGACAATCTCTTTCTATTTTATTTCGCTATTCATCATGACTAGATGACTTCTTTCGCTTGAAAGAAAGAAGACATAGGCAGCAGTAGCAGTAGTAGTCGGAGGAGCCTTCCCTCCTCACTTACTAAATATAAGAAGTATTATTCATACATGGTGATGGCCACATGAGGCATGAGCTGAGGCGTAACGCCGAAAGTTTGTCTTTATTCAAACTTACCCCTTAATCTTGAGTGTTGCGAATTATTTCACCTGCCACAAAATGCAATAATAATGCCTTGATGAACTATTGTTGACAAAGACATCTTAGATAGTTTTATATGCATGAGCGGTATATTAGTATACTCGTATTCCACATGTATTTGTTTGGGTGTTGAGGAGTCCTTTGTTCGTTTTGCGAGTTAGCATGGCGATCAGTTAAGTTTTTTCATAGAAATAAATCGTCAAATAGTTCAACAGGGACGTCTGTTGTGTCGCATGCCGCACCAATCTGGATCAATTATTGCCCTAGTCATATTTGGCTAATCCAAGCAATGATGCCGTGTTATTATCACTAAAGGATCTGAGGGAGTTACAATTATGAAGCATGTGATTTTGCATTATATTGTACACAATTGACGTATTTTAGTTGTCATGTCCAATGTCAAACATTTGATGCCTATCACGCTATGGGACAAGGTCTCCACTAAGTGACTTGTCGCACGTGACATTTTCAAGACATGAACTAGAGATATATTTATTAATATTGAAAGTGATACAAAAACCACCCAAATAATGTGTAGTCTACAATCACATATTACAAGGCAATACAAATCAAATATAACATGATACATGAATCATAGTACATTAAGAAATAAAAGTTTTAGTGAGGGCAAAGTAAACAGCGGGGTTGCTAATTTGGTTGGGTCAAGCCAACGACCTATTTGTCAAGCCTACTCGTATTCAAGAGGGTAGGGAGGCAGTCATCGGTGGAAGAGAGAACCCCAATAGTACAAAACAAAGAGGGAAGAGAGTTGTAGTTTTCCAGTGGTAGCCAGATCTGGCAGCTTGTAGGGATTCCAACTAATGGATCCGAACCTGACCCGAATAGATCTGGACCTAACCCACTGGATCCATTCTTAGGATCACAATCTAGATCTGTGTTGGGTACCCGATTAGCAGGCCTTCATCAAAGCTTCAATTTTAATGTGTTACTGAACATGTGTGTATCATGTTATATTCGATTTGTGTTGTCCTATAATATGTGGTCATTATGTAGTGCGTAGGTTGCACACTCTGCATGTATAAAGCATTTAGTGTTTGAAAAGCCTTAGATTTAGGCTCAGACCCGCCAATGTTCTGAGAGTTGGAGACTACCTTGGTCAAGTGGGACTACCCAACTCAGCTGAGTCTCTATTGTAAATGCATTAAGTTTCAGGGACTTGAGGTCCAACTCGCCCAAATTTTTAGGGTTAGTCATCCAGACCTGACATCCTGCCAGTTCCTAGTGAGTGGGCAACTTTGAGCCCTAGTCATTGGATTTTAGGCTAGTTTACAGTCCAGCCTGGGTGATTGATGAGCCTAGACTAAAGCAAAAGTTGATTCTTATTTCTAGGGTGAAATCTCATTAACCAGAATTTGCTTCAATTTGATATCATTGTCATTCATCATAAGAAAAGGTAGCTCCTTATCCAGAAAACCTCAAAATCTATACTAGGTATGCGGCAAATCGTACTGTATATTTGAATTTTCTGTTATTGTATATTTGAAGTAAATGAACTGTTTGCGGCACTGCTTAATATTGGAATTTTATACGTCTTGAACTAATATTTATAGCCTTATTTGAAATATTACATCTTGTTTATTTGAACTCATTTGGAAGTTTACATCTTGATCAATTAAATATTCCTAAGAATCAAAAAACAAAATATAAATGCCTATGTTTAAATTCAAATGCATCCTTGCTGACAAGTTATACCATATATAAATCTTTACAATATTTGTATTGAGGTAGAACTATTTCCATGATTGAGTTTAGTCCGTGTAGAGTGTAGACACACACACACACACACACACAGTCTTTGGTGGTTACATAGATCCATATAATTTATTTATGGAAATATTTAAAGACAAGAATTTTTAACCAGTGGTTAGAGTTGAGAGTGCTCTAAGTTTAGATTGCGGAGTGCATAGTCTAGAATGTGAAGGTTCTTCCATGGATGATGAGCTATGTGGACGAAATACCACCGACCCTCCGACAAGGTAGTCCATAGACCATCGTCCCAAGGGAATGTCCTAAGTGCACCCTTCTTTTTTCTTAAAAGAAATATCTCTTAAAAGAAAAAAGGCATCTCCAAAGGAAATATCTCTTTTTTTGATATCTTACCTGCAATAGCCTACTTCCAAGGGAATGTCCCAAATATCACAAGGTGCACAATTTTCCTAGGAAACTCTCACATGGGAGTGCTCCGTAAAATTGCTCCCCATGCATATTGTATAAGCACTCCCCACAAGTGCTCCCAATGTACATGCTATAAGTTGTACATGTATAACCTATACTCCAATGCTGCTCCCTGATAACTGTTTCCAGGTCCACCCAAGGTTTGGGAGCTTCAGCCATGTGTTGATTTTGGCCTCCTGCTCTCGAGAACTATGCATTTGTCATTTTTATGCAATTGGAACGTGTTTGAAACATCTTAATTTCTTCTTGATGATGTACTTATATAACAGTCTTGAAGGGCGTTCAACGGTTTGCTCCTGTGTGAACCTCGCAAGCATTCTGTTATTATTGTATGTGTCTGAGAGCAAACAATAATCTGTGTTCTCCTGCCATAGAAATCATTATTTCGACTAATTCATGCATTTACCGCATTGTCTTTCAGAATAGAATTTCCAATTTCTTAATGCTCATTCATTTCTTTCTAAATTGTTATCCTGATATACCCTTTTGTGCTACATTCTGTGCTACAGCCTTTTTGGATTACTATGATATGCCATATAAGGTGGTGGAGGTAAACCCAATAAGTAAGAAGGAAATCAAATGGTCTGAATACAAGAAGGTTCCAATTCTAGTGGTTGATGGGGAGAAACTTGGCGATTCTTCTGGTTTGTACTAACCATATTGACTACTGTGTGAGGTTTAGTCAAGTTTGTCCACCATATTTTGATGGTGGAGACTCCCTAGTAGTTATCATATAATATGGAGCTGGGCAATTAGGATATTTCATGTATAAATTATTGTTCATCTCTTGCATAATGTCAAGCCTCTATTGCTGAATTCTTGCAGAGATAATTTCTAAACTTTACCAGAGAATCAGTCCCAAGGAAGATTCAACTGGCATCGAGAGGACAGAAGAAGATCAATGGTGCAGGTAACTTGTCCCATAAATGTACTCATCCTGTCACATAAAGATAGAGAATGATTTTGTTAGAGAATGATTTTGTAATGATAGAAGAAATAATTTTGATTGATTGAACTAGCTCTTGTATGATTTAATGTTATAGTACTTGTAATTAAATGAATTCCACTGGAACTACCATATACTGCATGTTAGGACTAACTTAATGTATATTGAGATTGGATCTGCTGGAATTTGAAAGTACTACGAATTTAATGTGGGCTTTTGGTATCGTGCCAAACATTTGGGTTAGATTGAAAGCTTGAAATCATAACTTACAGTTAGAAAGAATTCATTTCTTTTCACCTCGAATACTTCCAGAATATGTTTATTTTGATTTTATATTTATAAGGTTTAGCAGTAAGTCCACTATGGCTGGTCCCAAGCCAGTCATGCTGGTCCAAAGCCTCTGGTCCAAAGCCTGGATAACGGAGGAGGATTGTGTTAGGTTGGCAGCCAGCATAAAACATTCGCACATCCTTTCATCCATCCTGAAAGCAGAAAAGCGTTCGTGTAGCCAACCCCAAATAGTAGGGATAAGGCTCAGATTAGTGTATCAAAAAGCGCTAGGTGGGTCCTAGGCGCTCTGGGGGGTCCAGGTCGCCCAGCGCCTAGGCGGGTGCTTAGTTGAAAAAAATATACCATTATACCAAATTGCCAATATACAATATTTCAAATCCAAGTTGAAAAAAAAAAAAGAAGATAGACTTCGAGAAGAGAATTTTGATAATCCATATTGTTAAAACAGTAAAATGTAAAACCATACAAGTGTGTATGATATAAAAGTCATCACTTAACACAACAGAAATATACAGAAATTTAGAAAATATACAGTGTAACAAAAGTTAACACTCATGACTCAACACAACAGTCAAAACTCAACACTCAGCACCAAGAGGTAAGAGTTACGACAAGCCTCATCATATGCATCAGAGTTGAGGCCATCATCATCAGAGTCATCTCCCTCTTCAATATAACGCTCGTCCTCTTTTGTTTTTTCTGAATCTGCCTCTTCCTCCTCCTCTTCTTCTACATTCTTCTTACTAGTATATGCAGTCTGTGCAAATGAGGCCCTAGGAGTTTTGGCTGCTCTACCCTTTTTTTTTTCCTTCTCTGAACTTAAATATCGTATAATTTCCTCCCTGGTAGCCTCAATAACATTTTTACACGGGGCAACATCCCCCTTAATACCGGCAATGTGTTTTTTAAACCGGTAAATGCCCCCATTAGTATCATTTCTACAATAATTACATTTAATACGATTTTTATCATTTGGATTCGGGTTGTAACCATACTTCCAACTCGGATCACCACTCTGACTAGAACCTGGAGAAGATACTTCAATAGAACAAGGCTTATTATCATCATTTTCTGGTTCTTCTAAATTCAGAAGATGTCTAATCTCATCCCGAACTGCGTCAGGAACCTTTGTACAAGAAGCAACATTACCTCTAACACCAGCAAGGTGTTTTTTGAATCGGCTAATACCCCCATTGGTATTTTTTTCACAAAAATTACACCTTATACAATTTTTATCATTTGGTTTTGGGTTGTACCCATACACTCAATCCGGATCACTTCTTCTAGAAGTAGCAAAAATAAATCTATGACAAGGATTTTGTTTTTGTTTTTGTTTTACAGAACTTATATTTTGCTTAATCTTCTCTCTGATAGCTTCAGGAACATTTGTACAAGGGGCAATATCCCCCTTAATACCGGCAAGATGTTACTTAAACCGGTTTATGCCTCCTTTTGTATGTTTTTCACAAAAATTGTATCTAACGCAATTTTTGTCATTTGTATTGGGGTTGTATCCTATTTCCAACCTGGATCTCCACTCCGACTAACTCCTGAAGAAGACATCTCAAAATAAAACAAGTAATCTAAAAAATAAAGCTTTGCACTTACTTTGGTTGCTCGAACTCCAAATTTTGATAAACAATTTAATCCTATGAAATATAGTTTTTTAGAGGTTTCTTTCTCTCTAAAAGGGGTTCTTGTGAGTTTAGGTTTCAAATGAACCTAAAACCCATCGTTCTAAGCTTATATCTTAACAAAATAAACAACAAAAGAAAAATATTTATTTTTCTGCCTCTGGGCAGGGTGCAAGCCCTGGGCGGCTGCCTAGGCGGGTTCCGTACCAGGGACCACCGTCCAGTTTGGCTGCCTAGGCACTGGGTGGTCCGTTTTTTGAACAATGGCTCGGATGATGATGATGTTTATAAGGTCTAGTAGTGTGGAAACAGTGGCATGTGTGCTTCTTACTACTGATGCTAATGCATAATTGATATATACTACACTTTATGCGCTCTTGAGCATCTTAAATACTCGGACTGCTTTTTCTTATATTGAATCCTTTGTAGTAGCTTTAAAATTACTGATGTGGCTTTTGTTGACCTCAGGTGGGTTGATCACCATTTGGTACATATGCTAGCCCCAAACATTTACCGGAGCCCTTCAGAATCACTTGAGTCATTTGATTACATAACTACTACTGGTGAGCAAATTATCTCTCTTTGGAATAGCTCCAACTATCTTTCTTCTCAAACAATTGCCCTTTGTTTCTTAATCTTTTTTTTTCTATTTGGTGTTGTGCATGCCCCGCCAGGGGTGTTGGGTGGGGTGGGGTGGGGGTTTGGGGGTTGGGATGTGTAAACAGGGTAACTATTCCTCTTGTTGCTATTGGTGTCAAACCATAAAATTTGGTTTTAGAATTTGTTGGGATGAAATGGGTCATCTTCTTCTCTTCCTTTTTGAGAAGTGACGCATTTGCTGTTTCCTGCAGGTAACTTTACCACATTCGAGAGGTGGACTGCGAAATATGCAGGAGCGGCTGCCATGTATTTCATCTCAAAGAAACTTAAGAAGAGGCATAATATAACCGATGAGCGTGCTGCTCTTTATGATGCTGTGGAGACTTGGGTTAAAGGGCTGAACAATAGATCCTTTATGGGTGAGTTATTTATTTCCATATAAGAGGGGTTTGCAACCTATTGGAGTGTGACCATACATAGTAATGTTCGCTTTTAATGGTTGTCAAAGAGGTTAAATTGTGTTTGGTTTGATCCCTATAAATTGTAGCTACTTATCATAAAAATAAAAAACACTTGCAAAGTAACTTTCAGTTTTTTCTGACAGGTACATTCTCAAAATTATTATTATTATTATTATTATTATTATTATTATTATTTTCTTCTGACAGGTAACAAAATTTCATTAATAAAAAATGATGTACAAGATCCTCTCCCTGAATACTCTTCGACTCCTTTACAGAATTGAGTCTACGTTAGCAGACTCTACCAATAGATTGCAAAACAGCCACTATGAAATGAGGTTTAGACACTCTCATCTCATGGTAAGATCTTGGCTTTCCATTTTGACTCTCTCCACGCATAGCTTTGTGAAATGGTCCTGTTTTTCATCAAACAATGGCCCTTCTCCTTGCTGCTGGAGTAATCAATATCATTGCTAGAATTCTGTCAATAATCATCTCATCTTACCTTGTGTCCATACATTTTGAACCATTGCGCAAGAACCTAGCTTCTGCCTATTTTAAGCCACGTAAAGGGTAAGGCCCTAAATAAGACGTCTGGATCTTCACCTGGTGGTTTCTCACCAGTCCTTCCATTCTAGCAGTGCCTGGATTCCCCAAGGAACTGCCGTCAAAATTTAACTTCCCCACTTTCCAGAAAGATTCGACTCACTGGACTTCCTTTCTTTCACTTTGGTAGAGTATGTTATTGTATACCGCTGTTCTAAAGTCTACAACACTACACCCTCAAAAAACTCCTCCAACCTAGCCCATGAGACCACTGCCTTGCAGACGTTGGATATGTTCCTTCATACGATGCACCCCTCTTTTTGTCATTGATGTTTCTATCATTCCTCTCCAACAAAGTCAGCCATATGACAGTCTGTAGAGTGAACATCTACAGTATCCGACCCTTCGGTAATGGAGTAGAGGCTGGTACACTCAAGATATACCAAAGAGATCTGGGATAAAAGCCCATTGAGTGTTACAAAAGGACCATGCGGAAAAACATGTGACTGCATCCTACTAATACAAGTGGCAAATTTTGGTGATTACAAACTGCTAATTACAGTCTGCTGATTTGCTCATTTTAAGTATTTCAAAATTTAATAGAAGTCCAAAAAAGTAGGACATCTAAGGGGTGTATTAGTTGTGTTGTTCAAAGGTAATAATAATGAGTATAACCCATACAAGATAAGAATAAAAGAAATTTAGAAAACAGAAATCCAATCAAAGTTCCTACTGCCTTTATATTGTTCCGATTCTTGAGAATGTATTTTTAGTTTATTATTATTATTGTAGTTTGTGCATCAACTTGCAAGCCACGAAGGGCATAATTGGGTGATCTGAACTTCATTGAATATAGATGGAAGTATAAAGCATTCATAAAAATAATAAGAATCCAAAGAGTAAATCAGTAGAAATTCAAGGAACCCAGATTGAGGGAGGTATGCATTTAAGATTTTCAAGAGACTAGCCCCACATTGGTGCTGGTAGGAAGCACAATAGAGAGAGGCTAAATAAAGTGACGATCACTTCTGGAAATAGCTTCCCATTGAGAGGAATGCGACAAAGGAAGGCTATAAATGTGCACACAAGGGGCTTGAGACAGCTGATAAGTCTTAAAGACCAAAAAAGTTTTCTAATTTATTTATTTTTCTCTTTCAAATAATTGTAACATATTGAAAGAAAATTTGAAGACTGATGCAGAAGCCAAACGGCAGATTGCATTACTTGGTTTTATCATTGAGTTCTGTCTATCCTTTTATCAATTCTGTACATTATTATCTTGATTAATATATTAATAAATTTTTTTGTTGTTTACTAGTATTATTCTTCTTATTATTTTAGTTATCATATTATTATTATCATCAATTTAATTTTGTTATTGACTTCTTCTTCTTCTTGTTACTTTTTGAGTGCTGACTATTATGTGTGATTTTTCAGGTGGAGACCGACCAAATTTGGCGGACTTGGCAGTTTTTGGAGTGTTGAGACCCATACGACATTTACAGTCGGGACATGATATGTTGGCTAATACCAGCATCGGCCCTTGGTATGATCGCATGGAGACGGCTGTGGGCAAAAGCTCTGAAATTAGAGATTCTTGACAATGTTCTCATCATATCACAAATTTTTGACCTCGAGTTTTACAAATATGATTACTGCCCTAAACAGAGAGCTGCAGTTTGATGCTTTCTAGCCCTTGGCATGCAGTGTTTGTCTGTTCCTTCGTTCCTTGTTCAGAGTCCTAGTGGGTGAATAAAGTTCTTCTAACGAAGAAAAAAGAAATAGTAGATGTGTCATTTATATTATTGGAAATCTATACATATATTAGAACTGTTTATATTTGGCACAAGGAAGTTATAATGATTCATGTGAACTTGGGTGGTAAGAGGTGTGCAATTGATTATGCTTAAAGTCTCAAAGAGAATATTTTAAAATTTGCGACATCCCAAGCCACAAGTTTCACAATTGATGGCTACTTTTACCATAGGTAAATAGTCCTTCGTAATATACAAGTTCATGTTTTTTGTGTGCGAATAATTTTTATTTGGACTTTGTTTTGTTGGAACTGTCTCAGCGTGAAGGAGGGAATTTGGTTAAGGAATTGTTATGGTGATCTAAAAAAAAATTAGTTTAACATAATATTAAAAAACACATTTAAATGAGGTTAAAAAATAGAAAAAAATGACTCAAGAAAAAGAGTTTGTAATTGGGGGTATTTTCAAAATAAAAATTTGTTTCATGCGGGCTGGACTGTATTTTTAGAAAGTGTAAAGCATGAAAAAACATGGAAACTAGCAGTCAAAATGTTATTTTTTTCGAATTATTATTTCTAATTTTTAAAATTTATTTATTTTTTCATATTCATGATCTCCATGTCCTCTTAAAAATTAAGTCTTAAATCCATCTAGAAAAATATATTTATTTAGAGACCTCCATTTCTACATATGCAGGCTTGGTTGCATAGAA